GTTTTGTATTTAAGCAAATTGTAACAGTAAATTAACTTTATTGTCGTTGAAAAACAAAAGAATTATAGTTTGCACTTTTTTTTTTTTTTTGTTCATAAGCTTTCACTACTTTTTTGCTTCTGGTTGCAATTTAAATTGAGTAATTTTCGCAGAATTCGTGATCATAATTATCGATTCATCTAATCACACATTATCAGAAGTGATTGCTATAAGATTTCATTGAATATTATATTGAAATGAACAAACCTATTACTTAATTCAACCGTATAACAATTTAAAAGATTGTGCAATAAGTGATTTTTTCATTATCAATACTTCATTATATATAATTTCAAGAAAAAAACATCTACAAAATTTGCATTTTTGAGAATTCTTGACAATAATGAATTATATATGTCTACTTTATATGTATTTACAATAATCAATTATCTTCTAACTAAAAATATATGGTTCTAAAAAAAAAAATAAAAGAAATTAATTTTATTATGGAATCCTTATTATAGAAAAAAAAATTAATTTAATTGGGATAAGCAAAATAGATGCACCATTCGGTTTCCTGAAAAAGAAATTAGTTTTAAAAAAACAGGATAATTTGCAAATTTACTTATAAATTTATAATAATATTTCAATCAGTAATATCGAAAATTTTCACATTTATCATTTTTTCAAATTATTTCTACAAAATGAATTGTGAACTAATGAATAAAAATACAAAAGTTATTTTGATTCTTAGAATGTACAAAAAAAAAAAGGAAAAAAAGAAAATTGATCGGAAAATGGTGTGTTAATATTTCGCATAATCAATATATTACGATGATATCGATATTAATCATCTACAATGTTTTTTTAATATCATCTTTTTGATTGAATTTAATTAAAACGATTAAAAAAATTAATACGAAAAAAACACCTTCTACTTTCCGATTTTTAGAACGAAGAAACAAGCAAAGAATGTGATGAAATTTGCATATTAATATAAAAATTTAAATGGATGCATATTAAAGATTTAAATCAGTCTTTAATTTAACATTGATTGTATCCAGTTGCTTTTACTATTCTCTTTTGTCCTAAATTATTCTTTGAAAAATTTAAACTATTTGATTTGAGAAAGAAAAGATAATTAGATATTTGTTTATTAGATACGTTTTTCTCTTTTTGCATGTGTTAAAAAGTTTTTCTCTCTCATATTTTGTCACTAATAAAGCATAAATAGTTATTTGAATAAATTAGATAATTACAAATATATTTACTTTTATATTTACACTTAACAAATAAGTCATAATTTTTCAATTAAAAAAAAAAAAAAAAAAAAAAAAAAAAACATACTAGCATTTAATGAAATTGAAAAAAAATGCATGAATTAAGAAATAAATTAAGAAAATAACAAATAAAAAGCTATATTAATAGTATTGATTTAATAGTATTAATTTACTCCATTTAATATTGCTTGTAAATTGGAATTTTTTTTTTTAATGCTAATATAACAAATAATTAAAATTCTAATAATTATAGATTTAGCTGAAGATGAGCGAGATATCATGGTTATTGATTATAGTTGCATTTATGATCGATTATAATTTCAATGAATTTCAATCATTGAGTCCATTTATATTGATGAATAATTTTGATAAGCAAATTATTAGCAAAATAATGGTAAAAGGAGTAAAAAGCAAGAAAAAAGCTAAAGAAATGGCATCAAAGATTGCTAATATTGAAAGCACCGATTTGAGACGTCGAAATTTTCTACCCAGCCGTGATATTATTACAAGCACTGTTGTTGCTTCACCAATTTATCCATGTGATGAAAAAAATGCACCAAATTATATGATTTATTGTCAGGGTGAATTGTTACATACTGTATTATTAAGTAATATTTTCAAAGATTCAAAAACATTTGTGGATAAACCAATTAAAAAAGAACCAGATGAAATAATTAGTGCATTTAATCAAAAATTTCCTAATCAAATTACCATCAATGATCGAGAAGCACTGATATCATTTGTGGATGAATATTTTGATACCGAAGGAAGTGATATTCAGGAGTCTGTTTTTCTTCTTTTTTTTTTTTTTTGATGTTAATTTCTCCTCAAAGCTTTAGTAACTGTAAAAAAAATGATTGTATTGATTAGATTTAAAATTAAATTAACAAATTTTAGTATTTATCAATGTTAATTGCTTTATATAGATATGTATGTATCTGGGAAATTTTTCTTCCTAACGATACATAATCATTTTTAAAGATTTCATTTTCTAGTCAATCTTTTACTTCATTTTTTAGCTTTCAGTTTTTTTTTTCTTTTTTTTTTTTAAATTCTTTTTTAGTTTTTTCTTTTCACTCAAAAACTTCTTTGCTGTAATTGAATTTACAGATGTCCGGAAGATACGATGGAAGATTGGAATGATGAACCGGAATATTTGATAGCAATCGAAGATAGAGAATTACGTCAATTTGCTTTGGAAATTCATGCATTATGGAAAAAATTATGTCATATCGTTAAGCCTGAGGTTATCTTTAATGAATAATATAACACTTCAAGCTGAAATTTTAACTTTCAGTAACATATTAAATGGCGAATGGTAATGTTTGATAAAAAAAGTTTTAAAGTTTTGACAAGATTCATTGTTTAATGCGCTGTGATAAATGTTCTGGATTATTTTAAATTAAATAAAAAAAAAAATAACTACTTAAAATAACTACTTAAGAAGTTATTGCTTGAAAGAGAAGAGAAGCGATGAATATAAGTTGATTACTTCTATTTCGCATCATTGTTTATTATCAGAAGTTTTATCTAATAAGCATTCATTTTAAAATTAAATAATTTAGGTAAAGAATAATCCAAAACGTTATTCGATATTATATTTACCACATGAATTTATGATAGCAGGTGGTCGTTATCGTGAATTTCATTACTGGGATACTTATTGGATCATAAAAGGTTTGCTTGCTTCAGGTATGATTTCATTAAATTTTGATTAAATATTTTTTGGTGAATTGAAGATCAGCCTGGGATACTTATTGAGTCATAAAAGCGGATATTTTTTGGATCATTAATTAAATTTGGTAAATTTAACTTCTTACATTTTTCTTATTTTTCCCATCTTACTCTATAATCAATTTCCATTATTAAAATTAGTTTATTTGTTATGAATTAAAAAAGATAAAAGGATTTGAATAATATATTCCAACAATATGTCATTCAAAAAATTTAATCTTTTCTTATACTGTAACGTCTCATTGTATAATATAAGTTAATTATAATAAAGAATAATAATTTTACATCATTTTGTATTTAATTTAAAAAATATTATTTCAGGCTATGATTTCTGTAATTATTAAACAGTAAATATTATAGTTTTGCAATATTTACTTTTTTTTTTTTGTAAGGTATGCATGATACGGCAAAACATATGTTACAAAATTTTAAATATTTAATTGAAAAATATGGATATATACCAAATGGCGGTCGTACTTATATGTTACAACGCACTCAACCACCATTTTTTATTCCGATGGTTTATGAGTATCATACTGTTACAGCAGATGATGAATTTTTACTGAGTGTTATGAGTACTATGGAAGCGGTAAATTTCAAGGAATATTTAAATTATCACTTAATAATAATATTGCATTTGATTATAGTAATATATTGCTTAAATTTTTTAATGAATTAAGAATGTTGTTAAAATAATTAATTAAATAAAATAGAATTAGATAATTTAAGTTAATAATAATATGATCAATTATTGTTATAAATAGATTTAACAAAATATGTAGCTAATTTCTATAAGTCGTTATGCAATCATATGTGATAATTGTTATCTGTAAATTTTAATTAATTAAGATTTTAATTAATTAAGATTGTAAAAAAAAAAAAAAAAAAAAAAAAAAAAAAACGAACTAAAAGAAAGTGTAATAACAATAAATATAGTAAATAAGATGGTAAGAAATTATTTGATAATTTATTAAATGAATGATTATTGATGAAATTTTAGACTTTTATTTAAATATCAAAAATAATTATATGACGAAATGATGATTGTGTGTACATATTTAGAATTAAATATAAGCACATGAAAATTAAAAAATTAGCTACATAGAATTTTAGGAATATGCATTTTGGAAAAAAATATAGGACAAAAACAATTTCAAAAAATGGTAAAAATTATACAATATTTCAATATATTTCTCCTGTCAATACACCACGGTTAGTGATCATGAAAATTCAAAATCATAACAGATCGATATAGTAATTTTTATTTTCTCGGTACTTCTTTTTTCCTTTTTTAATTCTAGGTAATTTTACAATTTACAACAGTAAAATTCTGTCATTTTTGTAGTCCAGAAGCATATCGTAGCGACTTTTTTGCGGCTGATAATGTTCCAGAAATTAGACGTCGGCAAATATGGAATGATATTAACAGTGCTGCCGAATCCGGTTGGGATTTTAGCAGTCGATGGCTTAGCAATAGTAAAACGATGGATACAATTGAAACATCAAATAATGTACCGGTTGATTTAAATGCATTAATGTGTTGGAATATGGAAATTTTGGCACATTTACACGGAGAAATTGGTAAATAATAATTAGATAATTTGAAATTTCATCGGATTTTTGTTAAATTTACTTATATATTTATATTGCTTGAAATTAAAAAAAGAAATTATTTCTATTATAACATTTTTTGTTTTAACTTTAAATATGCAAGAAAAATTTTGCAAAAAAAATTTGTAATTATCTTTTTTTCTCATTTGTTTACATTAGAGAGCAATAGGATAAGAGAATCGAATAGTCTTAGTTAATTCATTAATAATACATTTACAATTAATTATAATGATTCATTATGAATGTATTTAGTAAGAAAAATCAAAATATTCTTCATAATTTCTTTTTGCACAGTTTCATATATGAAAAATTAATGAAATGGAGGAAAAAATTCTAAATTGAAATTAATTCATTTTTTTTTATTTAAATCTTTCATTTTAAAAATTTCAAATATTTTTATTTTACCAATTCCTATATTTAGGTGATACAAATCGTCGGGCAGAAATAAACATTGAAAGAGCAAAATTTGTTGATACATTTGAAGCGGTATTTTTTGATGATCGTGAAGGTTCATGGTTTGATTTTAATTTAAATACCGGTGAACGTGTTGATGATACCTATCCATCTATAGCCGTTCCATTATTTACCGAATGTTATAGTAGTTTAAATAGTCCAATGTTGGTTGAAGTATTAGGGACTTTACAACGTAAAGGATTATTACAATTTCCTGGTGGTATACCGGCAAGGTTATTATTATTTACCTATTTTAATTATATATAATTAGAGTAGATTTATATCTATTACCTGTCCAATAATTTCAGTACCAAATAATTAATATTTAAGTCACTCAATCTTTGCAATAAATAACGATTAAATAAGTATAATTTATTATTATTTATGTAATTTGATTCATTAAAAAGATGTTGATTATAAAATAATTTGGCAAGTAATTATATAATAAGTAAGATGAGCATTTAATTGAACGATTAATTAGTGATAGTAAGAAATGCGATAGCTGCTGGTAATTTATCATTTTGATTATTATTGTTTAATTCGTAGTTCAAAACAACAATGGGATTATCCTAATGGTTTTGCTCCAATCAATCATATGGTTATCGATGGTTTACGGAAATCAAATCATCCAATGTAAATTAGTATTATGAATTGTTCACCTTTTATAAGACATAAATTCTAAAATGAAAATTTATTCTGAAGAAAAAAAATTAGTTAAACCAAAAAAAAAAAAATTAATTCAAACAGTAGAATAGTTTAATATTAATACAACTAAAGGTTTGATGTAAAATGGAAACGGCTGTTACTCAAAATCGAAATAAGACTTAATAAATTAATATTTTACTTTATACTTTAATAATTCTGGTCGTGAAATTAAAAATAATGGAAGAAAGGGGAAAAAAGCATTGAGATAACATTTATTTGTAAAAAAAAAATTGATGCATTTTTATTTTATCAAAAACTTAATAATCATAATTAAATGCTACTGATAACTACTTGGAAGTTAAATTATCAATAAACAATTGAATTGGAAATAATTCAATAATTAGAAATAAATATTAATGATAATATAAAAGATCAAATTAATTGTTATAGAAATTTGAATGATAAATTTTAGTATGCAGCAAAAAGCATTTGAATTAGCAAGTAGATGGATCAATCGAAATTATGAAGTTTATCAAACTGATCGTAAATTATGGCAGCGATATGATGTAGCCAACGATCATGTACGATCAGCAAATGACGATGATAATGAGGTAAACAATTTTTCATTCCTTAATTATAATTAAATCATATCTTTCCACGCATATTAAAAAAACCATTGTTGTTTTCACATTTTTTGAAAGATTTGAAATGAAAATATGATAAGATATAAATATTTTAAAAATAATAAGTTGGAAAAAATAAATTTGCTTAATTAAATTGCTGTATACAATAAATGGAAAAATCCTAGACGAGAAATAAAAAACGGAAATGAGTTTCTTTTAATATTTCTTAAATGCATTTAATAAACTCACATAAACACAAGTAAAAAATTAAAAAAATTTGTATAAAACAAACGAAACAAATAATTGTTTTCTCCACTCGACTCTATTAGTATTATTTTTTAATCTTCCATTTAATTTATATTTATCGTTGTGTCAATTAAGTATCATAAAATAGGATTAAATTTTTCTAAAAATAATTAAATTTATTTTATTACTTTTAATATTAGCAAAAAAAAGGAAAAAAAAAAAAGCATTCTATTATTGCGCTATTTCATTGTTTGGTAGCAGTTTTTAAACGACAAAAATGAAATGATGAATTTTAAAAAGACATTTTTTTTCATTTCAAAATAAATTTTAAACAATCAAAAAAAAATTTTTTTTTGTTAGGAAGGTTATGGGTGGACAAATGGTGCATTGTTGGATTTAATGGTAACATATAGCAAACGGATTAGTGTATCCGATAAGACCATAACATCAGATGTGTCCGAAATAAACGATAACGAGCCAGTTGATATTTTAATAAAAAAATTAGAAAATATATTTGGTTCATGGATATCCACCAAGGAACGTTTAATACGTATAGCTTCTTACATTCTCAAATGTAATTAAATCCGGCAAGCAGAATAGCCTGTGTTGTAATCAATCTAACTGTAATAGTTATAGTAATTTTATAGTGAATATGTTTATTATTTTTATTATTATTATTATTGTTATAAAAATTTGCTGTAAATAATATGAATAAATAAATAAATTATAAATAATTTATGTTGAAGTATTGTTTAATGTATTTTGAGCAGTAATTTAATCAGCGATACAGTCAAATTAAATATAATTCAGAAATGGAAGAAAAAAGAATTTCACTACGCATATATCATCCTGCTTTTCATCTTTATTAAGATTTAATTAAATTGAGATTAAATTTTTTTAAAAAATTGAACATTATTTAAGGAATTTAAACAATGATCTTAAATATGCTCAATATGCCCCACTAAGCAAATGTTTAAAAAATATGAATAAATAAATAAACAATCAAAACAAATAATAAATAACACAGAGAAAAAAAAACTCCAATAACGGAAATTTAATCATACAAATAAAATTATTCAAATAATAAGACATGTTCAAATAAACTGAATATAAAACTTATCAATTACGATCGTTGTAATTTAAATAAATAAAGAAATTATTTTAATTTTCCATTTATGTTTTATAAATAGAAAGAAAAAAGAAAAATTCTTGTTCTTTATTTTATTGTAAGGAATTAATCGAAGATTAAAATAAAATAAGTAAAGAAAAGAAATGAGAAGAATAATATATCATTTGATTGTTGAAGGCTCATTTATTTTATTGCTATCATTTCAAATCAAAATCTTTAAACGATTTCCTTCTTTTGTCAACCACTGATGAGACAGATGGAAAAAATAGAAGTAAAAATGGGTGACATTAAACAGGAATATGCGACATTTGTTTGTCCATTCATTCTTCATTTGAAACTATTATCTATAATCTGTATTTGCATATTCATTCATTTACTTGTTCTTTTTCTTTTCTTTCTTTTGAAATTTGAATTTATTCGAAATTTTCGAAACAATTTATTTTTGTCATTATTATCATTTGAAATTTTGGAATTTTTAAAAGTTTTTAACCTCAATGATTTTTTGATAAATAAATAGATTGTCGAACAGTTTCTATTAATTAATAGGACTATTAACTAATATAAATTATTATTATCACTATTATTTGTCATTTATTTTTAAATGTTATTAGAAAGAAGCAAAAAAGAGAAAAAAAAAGGAAAAAAGAATATGACAAAACGACTCAAAAATAATGCCCAAAAGTGATATCAGTTAATAACATCACTGATAAAAGCAATAATATATTTGCCATTTTTTTATTCTTATCATTTTGTTGTCTTACTTTCTCACCACTATCATTTTTATCACTTTTTATCAACTTCATGAAACCGAGTTTTTTTTTTTTCTTTCAAAAATTTCAAACAAATAAATTTATTATAAAATTTAAAGATTCAAAACATTTTTTTTCTCAAAAAAAAAAGAAATGAATGGTTGTTTTTGAACAAAATGGGTGATCGAAAAATAAAAAAAAACCAAATGGATCATCTGTTATTAATTAGAATTGATATCATTGATAATGATGGTGACAACAATAATAATATATTTGTCATCTGCCAGAAATTATCCCTTTCTGTTGAATTAGAACGATAAATCAACAAAAAAAATATTTTATTAGAAATATGTCCAAATGGTTTAATCCATCGAATCATTTCTTCCTCATTTTTTCTTATTTTATTAGTAATATAATCACATTTTCTGTTAATTTCAGTACATTTGAGAGATTTATTTTACAGCAAAAAAATCAATCAAACAAGTTAAATTATTTTTTAACAATTATTATTAAATTAACATATTATTTTTTTATAAATCATATAAACTTAACCTTCATCCAAAATAAATGTTATCATTTGGTTGAAACTTTTTTCCTATGAATAATTAAATATTTGATTAATTAATTGAAATTGGGTGAGTAATGTTTTAATTTGTTTTAATAAACACTAACTTTTTGTTTATCTGGATTTATTTTTACTAGTTTTTTTGCAACTTTTATATTTTTTGTTTTCTTTTTTTTCCTGTCTAAAATTTCCATTCTAAGTATCGTACCAATTTAAGATAAACGTGTTTTTCGCATACTTTTATCGTGAATAATACCCGACGATTCATTTTCATTTCACAAATAATCTGATTATTACTTACAGATAAAACTCTAAAAATTCTAACAAATGATATTTTCTTTCTTTGTTTTATTGTTTTTTTTTTGTTGTCTAAAAAAATCAAATTTACTTTTCCAAATTTTTACTTTTCACTTAAAAAAGAATTGTTTATTATCTAAAAAAATGTTTTTTTAAGTTTCCTTCCTAACAATTCCTATTTCGTTTGTTTTTAATAAAATAAATCATCATGTCACATTAGCTGTAAAAAAGGCTATAATCTAATCAATTGTAAAGCTCAATTTTAAGGAATTGAATAAAATTACAGATGATGATAAATTAAATAATTAAATCAAATTAAATCAGTTTTGCAAAAATGAAAGTTTGATAGAAATTTTATAAGATTATAAATATAAAGAAAAATCAATAAAACTGTAAATAGTTTTATAATAATCACAATAAATACTTATTAGATGGAAATAATTTCTCAAATAACACTTAGAACGTATAATTAGTGAAATACGCTTGATGTGAAAATACATTCGAAATCTATTTGGAAGGAAATTCGTACAAAATTTTGTAACTTTTTGTTTTTTATCAAAATTAGATGAATTTATAAGATTGTAAATAATAATAATTGTGATTGGATTAAAAAAAGGAAGTGACTGGCGATTTTTCGCCTAGCCTAATTATTAAATTAAAATTATTTGGATGATACTCTATTGATAAAATCATATTCAGATATGAAAATAGAAAAAGAAAGATCTTTTCATATCGTTTGAATCCACCAACCATTTGAAAATTATCTAATTCAACAAAATTGAATAAAAGAACAAAGTGGATAGCTTTGTAAATTTGGTCTTTCATTAACAATTAAATTAATTAATTAGGTTTAAATCGAAAAATCGCCAATCGCTATTTTTTATTTTTTAAATATAATTTTTAATATTTACTAATTCATCAATTTATTTTTTATTCATATCAATTTTATTAATAAAAATAAGGAAAAATCATCTAAATTCTAACATTCTTTCTTATTTTTTTTCAATTGAAATAAAATTTAAAAAACAAAAAAAAGGAAAACGAATGAAAATTTTCTATAACAATGAATAATTTGAAATATTTCACATATTAATTTTCTTTTTTATTCTTCCCTCTCTTCCTCTCTCTTTCTCTCCCATTTCCTTTTATTTCCTTTTCTTCTTTTTAAATGTTTCAAATTAATTTTTTTCTCAATTTCTCTTTTTTCGCTCATATTTACGCTTTTATGCCTTCAATGTTTAGAATATTGTTATAAACAAAAAAGAAAAAAGAAAACAGAAAACAAAAAAGTTTTCCTCCCTTTAATTTTTTTTTATCTTTTTCACTGCTATTTTCATTATGAGTCATTCTTTCATATAAGCAAGGAAAAGAAAAAAGACAGTCGACTGACACATCTGTGACATATTTTTTCATTTATTTCAACATCATTCAAAATTTTAAATTTCACATTTTCCAAAAAATTTTTCATTTTGAAAGCGGAAAAAAAGTATATATAATTGATGTTTTAAAGCTTTAAATACCATTTAAATTAAAAAAAATTTAGCTGGAATTATAAAATATCTTTTTTTTTTTTGTCAAAAAAACATAAATGTAAACTTGCAATATTACATATTTCCATTACTAATGTGTGTAATTTAAAGCTCTCAATTGCACAATTTAAATATTTCGATTAAAAATTTCAATGTAAGAATGTTTTATAGCAATGATTTTATAACCGGAACAAATCATTTAGTCCAGAATTATTCACCGAAATTATTCAAATCAAATTGAAAGCTTACGAAATCGATCAATAATATATGATTTAAAAATGCGTAGTTTAGATTCACTTATCATTGAAATTACTTTTTTTATTCCTTCATATTTTTGGAATTTATAGAAAAACTGAATGAACTTTTCAGATAACTCTTTTTTCAAAAGTCATCAAAAATTCACTTTTAAGAATTTCATTTTGTGATAGTTTTTCTTTCTCTTTAAAATTTTAAATTGCATAAAAAATTGCATCTTTTTGCAACCATACTTTCAATGTTCTTTCTTTTTCTAAACTTGTTGTAATGCGTTATTACATCATCATTAAAAGGTTTAACAATTTCAATTAAAAGTCAAATAATTAATTGTTCTATAATTAATGATTTTCTGATGTGTTTTTTTTCTTTTCTTTTTTTCTTAAATTTTACATTTGAATTTTGAAACAATTAAATTTTATCAAAAGCCAAGTACAAATGTTTTAATGATTACATTATAAAAGATATTCTATTTTCATTTGTTGATAATTTTGAATAAATTAAGTCTGAAAAATATTAAGTACTAACGAAAATAATTTTTATGTTTTTAGTATAAAAAAAGTAGGAATAAATAAAGCGCTCTTTGTTTATTACTATTTGTTTAGCATGATTGATCCATTTTGATCGAGTCAAAATTTTCTTAAAAAATCATCGATTTGCTGACACAATTTTAATTGAAAAGACTTCCTTAAAACAACAATAAAATAATTCGAAGAATTGTTAATCTGATTAAACTATAAACAAATGGTTATCATTTTAAATATGATAACAGTATTAGATATGATAACAATATTTGATGTGATAATAATATTAATAGCAAAGACGAAAAAAGTTAGCCATAAGAAAAATAATTAATTAATTGAAGTAGAAACTTTAATTTTTGCAATTCTTTTAAAATAAAAATAAAGAAAAATTTCATCAATACATCAATCAAAATTGGATTGGTTGCAGAGTATAACTTGTATTAAATTTAAAAAATAAATCCTGTATTAAATTTAAAAAATTTATTAAAAAATTTGTCGGTTGTTTGAAAAAAATTTTTTAAAGGAAGTTTTTTTATC